TTCCGATATATATATATATTACTACTGAAATGTATGAATTTCGGGAACTGGGTAAGATCTTGGTATCTTTTATTACAAAGTCTGATTTTGCTGCTCTATTTTCCTTTGAGTATAATCAAGGCAATTTTTTTGTGTGTGTAGGTATATTATTTTAAATAAACAAGTTTTAAAAACAATTTGCGTCTGTGAAATTGCAAAACGCTAAATAAGAATGAATGAATGAAATATTCTTTATTGCTCATAAAATTACACTTAAAATACAATACAGTAACTTAGGAATAACGATAATGTGCAAGAGGCGGTCTTATAGCTATGTAGCAATTTGTTCCAGGCAACCTTGGGATACAAATTTGGGATATGCAAAAAGGGCGTAACCAAAGAATATCATAATAAGTACAATACATCATAATTATTTATAAATTCGTATACGTAGATAAAAATATATAGAAATATTAGACTTAATAATATATGACTTATTTACCTTTAGCTGTAATATCTTCATACTGCCAGAGAGGCATGTGGGTGGGTCTGTTTGCAAGGAAATGTACGAGGGACTTAATCACATCCGCGACGGGAACTTCTGTGGGTTCAGTTTCAGGCATGGGCTCCGGGATCGTCTCTGCATCCGCTTCACCAGTCACAATCACCGGTAAGGATGGGTAGTTATCGCCTTCACCTATGCGTAACACATATTTGAAGAAGAAACTAAAACTGTAATATATCTTGAGCAACGACGTTATTTGGTTTCGGCTCTAAAATTCGTATTTGGAAAAACTATTTGAAAAGAATATAATGTAAGTATAAAAAGAACTACAACTATACCTTCAGGAGTAACTTGAGGATCTGAGCTGAGGGAGCGCGCGTGATGCCGTGGTGAGTGAGAACATTGCAGGTGGCTGTCAAAGGCTGCATCTGGTTCTACGCAAAATGAAAAAGAAATCAGTAATTAAGCTCATTTAGAATAACAAATCACACAGGAATTGTCGCAATCCATACGCGTAGTTCCAAAAGTCGTAGCAAAAACTGGGCGAGGTACATAGCGGCGTGTTTTTTTAACTAAATGGACTTGCTCTGACCACTCCCTAGCTCCAGGGCAAAGATAAGGGTCTACGATAGGTGATATATACAGCCGAACTTTAAAGGAATTAGTCGACGTAAGAGCTATACGCAAAACGACTTACTCCCTAAAATATATTCTATTGCGCCTAACCATTACAGATACAGATCGCATGTTCCTTTTTGGGGAGGCTTTTCTGCAAACACTAGCTGAATTATAGTAGTGCGTTAGTTGTAGGTACCAGTAAAATTATGAGGTACTAAAGGGAGGGCTGGCGACGGGATACCAAGGCCGAGCTGCGCGGAGCGACTGGCAAGCAAGACTCGCGCCACGGTCAAATGGTCGTGGTGAGCCGCCACCGCGACCAGCAGATTCAGCAACAGCTGACGGCAGTGCTGGTGGACGATCCATCTACAAACAGGTAATTTATGATACGAGTACTGTTATTGAACCATAAATAACAAAGACAGTGGCCGGTCGTAACTAATTCATAGTTCTCCGATGGCCAAAATGCCAAATAGTAATTTTTACTACAGAGCGTTTTAAAAAGTACAAATACAAATAATCTCAGTACGGAGTACTAAAAAAACCGACCTCAAAAGTCATTCATCCCCTAGTTTGCCACCTTTAGAGGTGGAATATTTTATTCAAATTTAAATGGGACTACATCTGAGGTACCCTCTTTCCAATAAAAAAGAATCATCAAAATCGGTTCAAAAATTCAAAATGTGAAAAAAACCGGAGTTATCGTGTAACGCAATGCTCGTAAAAATATTTTTTTTTTAAGATGGAGTAAAATGACAGTTTATTGTGCAAAAGTGTTACTCGCTTTCAAGCGGTTACCTATCAGTAGTCCGAAATGACATTTTCCAGAAATAAAGTTTGGTCGTTCTTAACCTCGAAAGTAATTTTGAGAGGAAAATGTTTTTTGTTTTAAACCTAACTTAACCAAACCTAATAGTGTCTTTGCGATAAACATTCAACATATCATGAAAGAATAACTGTTTCGGTATAATTCGGTTTTCGTTGTAATGAAAATTCGAATAAACGTTATTTCGGACAAAAAAATTTTCGACTTTATGATAGGTTACCCGTACAAGCAGCTAGTTATTGCAGTCCACAAATATTCTTTCGATTATCTACTGAATGTTGGTAACGCTTATGCAATAAATAGTCGAATTTGTTTATTTCGTATCATCATCATAATTCATCCGATTGCTGGGCGTCCGGTAGGTTTTGAATTTGGATTATCAATCTTTGTAAGTTCATACAATAAGTGCATATAAGGAGTATATATTATATATTAGTAGTATATTTTTTCATATTTGTTTTTATTTACACACAAATTGTACATCTGCAAACATCGTTCCATGGCCTACGGGTCCGACAGATAATTAGCACGGTAACTATAATTCGGTCAAGAAAGCTTTGTTACAAGCTAAAAAATAAACTACATTAAGGGCGTACCTTGTGTGGTCCATTCCCAGGAACACGATGTGAAGCATTAGAGGAACGTGGATAGACCAGTCAAGCTCGACCCCGTCCAGTACTACGTCGCATAGAAGCATTACTGCTACATTGCATCTGTCATTTAAAAAACGTATGTATTGCGTCAATATGCACTGTTCATTTGTAGATAAAAATTAGAATGAACGCTATAAATTTGTAAAATTAAACGCGCCTTATGGTTTTTGTAATAAAATGTTGCTCCTCATCAGCACAAAAACATCAATATAGGATTATTCGAGAGTCAATACAAGTATAAAATTTTTGTTATTCAGTCATCAACAAGGTACGAGTATCTGTCGAAGGTCTATATATACCTTTAGACTAACATTAAATAACGAACGAGCATTAAAATAACACTCCCTTGGCATCATCGAGTATATAACCAGAAATAGAGACGAAATGTCATTTAATTTGTTTGAAAACTATTCTGCCATATCATTACTGTGACAACTGCGGTCCGATTGGCTAGCCCGAGTTTGAAACAATTGACGGGTGTCGTCAATTGTTTCACTTCAAATCGACCAGTTAACGTGAGCTTTGCTATAACGAAAAAAATTGCAAAATTACATGTTTAATATTTAATTACCGATGAAATGTGATTCCGTTTGTTTTGTAATTAGATGTTTTGCTGTTTTTCCTACACCACCGAATAGAACAGTACGGCATTGTTAGAGATATTATCTTTATTACAATAAATACAGAATTATTTTTGGAATATACAGAGACGTACACACAGGTCAGTAGTTGGCCTGTCTATATTTCAGAGCAAACGAGACTTGATATTTATAAGAGCTGTATCGCTAATGTGTTACCAGGAATATATAGGCAATTATTTCGTCTCTATTTCTGGTTATGTACTCGATGCTTGGCATTCACGCTGAAGATCACGTGGCTTACTTAATTTATGTACATTAATACCTATGGAAACCAGAGACGGGTTGGCTGGTGTCCGGGAGATACTCGGAGAGCTTGGCGAAGAAGCCTCCGTATTCGGGCATTGGCAGCGGTCGTGGCTGCGGAACGTCAACTCGAGTTTCCTGTGGCGTCTGCGGCGCATTGCCGCCCGGACCCGTTGGCGTCACCGCTGCATCGGGACACAGTCCCGTCTGCATAAACTAATACATTTAAGGTCCATATATTGCTAGCAATATCCAGAATTCGTAATCAAAGGAACTATTTTCAGGATAAGGAGCCGATTTTTTTTAAGATGATTAACATTGTTCTCGATATGCTGAAAAGTGTTACGTTTCAGATTCGGTTAGAGTATAGTTCCAATCATTATATACCACGAGCAAAATAATGTTACTGCAGGTTACTTGTTAATTTACGAGTAAAGAGACAGATACGTATTTTTTATTTTTAGCATTATATACTAGGTTCTACTTAATTTTCTAGTAATGGTTTTAATAGTCTAAATTATTATTTCTTTCATCAAATAAAATCCACACTCTTTTTTCTCTCTGAAACGAATCAACTTTTCAAGAAATCACACAAGAATAAAAGCTGTCGGGAATGGCACTATTTATCATATAAAAATAATGAGCTCGCGATATCAGAAATTGTTACTGTGCGTCGGAATGTTCTGATCACTATGAAGTTTGGTTATGCATGAAGTGGAGAATGTTTTTTTAAGCAATTATCATTAAATTGTTTATTGATCCGTCCAAAGAGTGGTCCAGCGGGAAAATATTAAGCAGCAAGGTCAACTTGAGGAAAAACAGTACAACACAGATTTTTATGGGGATTCCATTAAGTCGAGGAGGGAAGGGAAATAAATTTCAATTTCGAGAAGACCCATTTAACGGTCACCCATGTTAGCTGAATGTATAAAATAAGATTAACGCTTATTTTGATTAAAAGACAATGTCGCTAAGGTTTATGACAAAAATCCCATTGTGTTATTTCAATTATTTTTTATACTTTACATATTGATTATACGTTATATTGTTATGATCAGTTATTTGAGACCTAGAAGGTCAAAGACAAGTAAATAACGCAGTTAGCGGCAAGCATGCACAGTCTTGCTAGTCTTGCTCCATCGACAAGAGCAGTGGCGATCGCCTAACACATTCGACAAGTTTTACGCCGCTGAAATATTTCTACTTTGAATACGGGATACAATATTTATAAGTAATAATTATTTGTTCTGTTCATTTTGTATATCTACTTCACTAATCGCTGTGCCTTAATGAGTACCTATTAGTGTTAATTTGAAATACAAACGTAAACGATTACCACAAATAATCGGTGAAATGCGGATTACATGCAACAGTAGTTTTTCTTATTTTGTTTTTTTCACAACATGTACAAATGTTTGTGTTATTTTTCCCATACCACTTGTTACTATCCGCGAAAACCTTATTCGAGATCTATATTGCTAATTAGGCCTATTGAGTTTATTATAAAAAGTTCACCTGCAATAACCTGCAATGCAAGTTAAGCGTGTGGGCGCTCCGACAATTGCCGCCGGGAGTGGGGTGGAGGGGATCGTTGGGGGCTAATCGCGATGACGTAAGTGATGCTGTGGCACCCTGCAGATCTCGAATTAGGTTTCGGCGTCCAATAACTAAGTTTCTGATAAAGAATTATACTAACATATTCCGCGGGATTTGACACATAAAGTTCTGTGCTTATTCAAACTATAGAATTGTAAAAACATGTATATATTTGAGTTGTCTACAACAGTTTAAAGAAGGGATCTATAATTTACCGGCGTGGCATCGCCATCGGATGGTGGCGCGGGGTCTTCATCAGCGGGCGGCGTGGGGCACGGCGGTGCCGAGGTGCGCTTGTCCTGCGATCGACTCCCGGGTGTTTCAGGTGCCTTCGCGGCGCTGATACGTGTGCGAAATATTACACTCGTATTAGGACATGTCTCCAAAACCATCAGAAACCATTTGTTATAAACTACTTCACTTTTATAACTTTTATAGTATAAAAAAACAATATAGTACATATGTACATAATATACTAGACAAAATCATAGAATTTTAGTAATAATTCTCATATCCTTATAATACTCAAGGTTTTAACGCTATAGTGTAATAGAAAATGTGTTTACCACGAAAAGTTTCACAACGCTACTTATAAAAAAAACTTCAAATTGTAAACGTGTGGAAAGAAATTCTACTCGTGGCTGTACGCGTGGTTGGTACTTGAAAACCGTTATAAATGTACAAACCATTAAAAAAATAGATTGTGGAGGCTAGCGTAACAATGATTGTGTATAATAACACATACACAGTGATTAAAAAAATAGGAACGGGAAATGTACCTTCAGACATGAATATTTGCGATAACTGTGTTGAATTTACAGTGCAAAGCGTAAAAGTTACAATTTTTGGCGTGGAATTGGGGGTAGTACGGTCTGTCCGTGCGCCGCATAAGATCGTACCACCTCCTATGACTATTATATTATTATATAAGCTATTTTATTTATAAATACAGTCAGTGTATCGTTGATTAACAGTAATGACTGTGACTCGTAATATTGATCCCAAAAATTTGTATGCAATTCCACGACCAAATATTTTCCAAAATTTCTTTTAATAATAACTTGTCCTTTTTATCTAAAAAGTAATTTGAAACTTCGTTTCTGGTCAGGCTTAACCGTGAAACTCGTACGTCTATCTACATATATCATCAGGCACTCGCCACGCAAGCAGTAAGTTAACAGTCGTACCTAGAATACCCACTAAATTTGAAGTAATTTCCCCTAAAGAATGATTTACGCCCAGGCTGTCCTTAAGCGCCAGGACGTTATTTACCGTAAATAAAAAATGTTTTTCTTTTATGTCCATTAAGTTTTAACAGAGCATTGAATAGACCGCGGTTTTATGGAAGATTATTTTCAATATCCTCAATCATAAAACCTTATTTTTGACCTTCAGAAGACATTTTATGCGATTTTCGAGGAAAGAACAATTACTGTACATTTCATATTGAATTTGATCAATAAATTGTTAACTTTTTGTGCAAGAAAAATACGCAGACGATCATGATAATATCAAAGATAAGTAAGGGTTTCCTCAAGTGTATGATTAAAGTAAAGATACGCAAGAAAAGTCAAATATTAAGAGAGATTATAATATCCAAATTCCATAATATATATCCATATTTATATATTAATGTATTATATAAAATATTATTAGACTCTTGTACCACACTATATATAATGTAATAGCAAGCTAATATTATATTGTAAGAAAGCCTTGTGAAACCTCATATGGAAAGCAAAAAATAGCCTAAAGACGGTGATGAAATGACTGTGCCATAAAAAAGAAAATTTAAATATTGATATTCCTTAAGGTTTACTACATAATGTATACAGGCATAGGTAAATAAATATAAAGCTATTTTTTGTTGGGTAAGTTAAAGGAAAATTAGATGAACGGCGTCTTAATACGTCACGTGTTATACGAAAACATCTTTTTTCACATTAAGGACCCCTCAATAAATACATGCCGTGGTACTGACCTGGATTTGGCAGGATCTTCTCCGCTATGTCTCTTTGTATGTATGGTTCCCTTTTCTACTGGCGCGAGTTCGCCGGTACGTCCAGTCGCATCCTTCATGAACAGGGGATCAGACAACTTTTCAGAAAATACTTAAAATCAACCATAATGGATACAGACACAAAATGTTGTTTTTAAACAAAGCTTTTCAATTTTTAAAACTACGTTTAAATATGATTAGAAGTAATTGCTGTGCAATCGGCACTAGTTGTCAACTCGAAATGAGTAACGTAATTTGTAAGTAAAGAAGCTGGACGTGTGCACTTGCCACTTGCGAGATATTTTCGTACTGACTGAGTAGTCTTTAATCTAAAATTTCAGCAGTTTTTAAAAACGCGATGTAACACGCGGACTGTGAGTACGGTCATATTTCTTTGCTTATATTATATTAAGTTTCGTGGAGTGTTTCTTTGCTTAACAGATTGAAAATATAACAATTTTAAGATTATTCTCATTGAAGTAAAAATTATACGCTAAGTTTCAAAAACAAAATTATTAATTTTCTTGGTGTGGGCACATAATATTGCTTATTTATTCAAGGTCTGAATCGTGTTGTGCGTTCTAGTTAAGAAAAAAAATTCATTAACTGTTTCTTTTTTTTTGTTCCGTTTAGAATTGTTTTTATAATTGTTGACACTTTTTGTATGCGGTGCTCACTTCTAAATTAGTTACGCAACTAGTCTATTGTTTATTATCTTTAAGGTAAATAGTATTCAATATACCAACTACTTGACAAATTTTAAATAACCTAAAGTGATTTTATGAATATCAGTTGAAATATGCTTATTGTTAAGCTTTGTATAATGAATTTATAGCTTAAAATATGCCATTATTGAAAGGTTTATAAACAACAACAAAGTTATAACTAATCGAAAACCTCTTGATAATTATCACAAACAATTTATGAAGGTAAATATATACTGTGCGAATGATCAGTCTGTGCTTTCTTCCTACACGTACATAAAATCAGGCCAATATTTTATATTTGACACAATCTTGATTGTGTTTTTGGACCTATAAATGCTTTTAAATAAGAAGTGAATACCTGTGAGCCTGTGCCAGGGCCATCGCTGTGTCCTGATGTGGCTTTCCGCATTGATGTGAGTCGGTAGAAGGGCGGAGTCTCCGTGCGCTCGATGAGGCAATTCAGCGTCTCCACGGTTTGAAGCTCGGTCATCATTTCATCCAGCAATCGCTCGGGCCGTGACCGCGCCAGGTACAACACCACGCGTTTCGCCTGTCCATTTAGGGTTACATTACGCTATCGGCATTTTACATTTACCGGCGCCGCAAGGGGTAAATAAATAAGTAAATACTCTGTACCTCTGCCGTCAATATCGTTGGCGAAAATTTATTACCATTTGTTAGTACTAATTTTTTAGTTTATTGGTTTACTTGCAGTTATTATAATGAACTATAAATTCAATTTGGTGAAGTTCTTATCTAAATTTCACAATTACTTATGAGTGCACACAGCTTGCAAAACAACGTAAAATGTAACTTATATACAATTTAAGAACAGCAAATTAAATTAAAAAAAAAAAGAAAAAGTAATACAAACAAAAACAATGAATACAAGTAACAAGGGTCTCGAATAGCATCAAACTAGATGTGGGTAAAAAAAAACAATTAAATTTTAACATAATACTAATGCGAAATTTGTGCAGCGACTGACAAAATATATAGCAAATGTCACTGTGCTTATTATTTAACCTGCAGAGCCTTGGGATACAGGATTTTAAAGCCCAGAACGATCTTACGGAATGATGAACTTTTTAATATTCCACTAACAGAATTTAATGCGGATTGTCACGAAGCGAAAACAATGATACGGCCTCATCTCATGCTCACATTACGATCACATATACTTTTCATCACCGCACCTACATAGACATACATAGACAATTTATCCATGCTGTTTTACGACAATATTACATTATATAAAAAATATTCAAACTTATATTTAAAGTAAGTAGACATGTATAAAGATACATACATACGTTTGACTTAATCGATTTAAGGATACGTTGATAACCTCGGCGGACCGCTTAGTGTGCTTTAAGGCTCGGGTTTGATTCCCGATAGGATTAATTTTCGAATTGAAAGCTAAAGTGCTAAGCTAAGCTAAATTGGTTCCGGTGTAAGTATTCTGATGAAATTGCAATGGCAAATATTTAATCGAAAGTTTTCATCGTTTTTTTATATTTTGTTTCGTATTTCCTGTTGCGTACTTTAATATTTACACATAATATATATTTTTTACAACTTAACACAAGGAAGAGCGAAGGTTTACTTGAAGGACACACATAAGATTTACAGTAAAGATAAATCCTTCTCAAAATTTTATTGGTACGGTAGACGAATTAAATTAAGACCATCCAGACGTTGCGGAATTTAAAAAAAACTAACTTCTACTGACAAAAATAACTTCAACATCTACCTATTTATTTAGATTTTATAATAATAATTGTAAAACACAAGGAAAATTGGGTCACAGCAATTCGTATACCGTTTATAAGATTTTCGGTATCTTGAGTAAAATTTATGGGTAAGTGTAATCGTCGCGCTCTGGCAAGATGGTACGATTTAGTATCCCCGGACCAGTTACGACACTAACAAATTAAATTTGTGAGAGATTCAAAACACTTAGAGGCTATTCAAAACGAAGCACCTAGAAGACGTGATACTTAAGACGGTACATCGCTAATTTGACAATACGTACGTTTATTTTTCGTCAATGTATTTTCAATATCACCCCGGGATTTAAGGCTCAATTTATATTGCGGCGCATATTTGTAACGATATTGTACATAGCATAACGATCTTTATGGTCAATTGTGTAACGTACAAAACAGACACGAGCCAAAATCATCGCGGAATGCGCGAGAATTCCACGGAGGATTTTGGCTTCCATTCCGTTCCGTCGCAATATAAATTGAGCCTTAGTCGAATCTAGCGATACCTCCTCCGAGCCGAGGAGGTAGACTTAATTTTTTGTTTTTATATTACCGAGGTCTGAAAATAATTTCGCACGCGAGTAACAGCTTTCATGACACTGGTTTAGCGTTAGCAAATGTGCAATCAACATATTTTATCCCTAGATTACAAACAAGTTACAAAAGAACAATAAGTGTCAGATAACCATACAAGTTACCCAGCCATGAACTAGGGAATTCCCTGTACTATGACTATCAAAGAAACGGAATTGTTTCTGGGGCTCTACCAAGAACATCCAGACCAGAACCGATTTAGAAAAATTCATTTCCCAAATTGGTCGTACTGGGAATTGAACCTGGGACCTCCTCATCCAGCGCTGACAGTGCAAACCGTTGAACCACCGAGGTTAAATAACGTAAGTAGACTACTTTTACGAAAAATGGTCTCCTAGGTAGTGAATACCCGAGTTGAAATATAAATCTTATATAAAGACGTAAAAGTTGACCTTAACTTCAAAAAAACTTTTCCATTATAAAATAATACAAAAACAATCTGGTAAAAAGAACTTTGAATAAATAAATTTAGACTAAAAAAAAAAAGATTCTACTTACTATCAGGAAAGTAACATGAGTTCCAAGCTTTCAAAAGGTAAGCTCAATGGTTTGTTTCATTTATTTAAGCCGCTAAAATCATGAATGTCACTTTGTATTGCTTCGAATTTGAAAGGAGTATAAAATAATACTCACCCTTATTCCAACATTCACAACCAACAATTTTGTGTAAATCTCATTATTATTCTTGAAGTCAATGTTTAAAAACTGACGTAATTAACGTCTAAGTTGTAAAAGAAAGTTTCTTATTGTAACTTAATTTACTTATAGCGTTGTACCAATGTAATATTGATTAAAAAGCTTCACAGTACTTGTTTGAGCTGTGGTGTAATCAACAAAATTCCTTCGCGTCTATTCTTCACAAAACGTAAGTATGCAAAAGAATATTAATTTCTACGAAACGCCTAGGAATAGTCTCGTCGTGACGTAGTATTAAACATTTCGTCGCTTTCATGACAAACTACGCTATCTACAAAGGGATACTTCTGCGTAGCTTGTTCTGCTGATATTTCGAATATTAATAAAAGACAATTTGCACGGTTTTAGAATATGAACATTTAATATATTTTTGTTACAATTTTTTTATTTATTTATTTATTTATTTTTATTTATTTATTTATTTCAGGCAACTAGGACCCATAGATACATACCTTACAGACTAACATACATATAATATAACAATAATATAATAAAACAATAACAGAAATATTAAATAAATACCTTACGGACTAATCATAAATACAATATAACATGATAATATACATATAACACTATTTATTTACACGTATGTACTTCGACGTGTGACGCAACGTGAGTGTCCGGTAGCCGTCCTCGGAAACGCCGGTATATGACACCCTTCGGCCAAAAGTCTTCTCTCATGAAGGTCGACAGGTGTTGAGTTGGTACTCGCACCACAAATGAATTAAAATTCACGTTGTGGCGCGACTCCAACCGCTCGACCCTCAGGTTTGCATTGGCCTTCACTCGCATGTACTCCACAATATCCGCAGACTTGGTGGAGTAATGAAGACGCGACACGTATAACAACGTCGTCGGTACCGCTGGACGCAATAAATGATTCGGGCCAGTCAGGGCGGTGCCACTAAGGTTTCGGCTGATGTTCTTCTTTTTCTTTTCCACCTTCCGAAAGCCGTCCTCGTCGCACTGATCAACTCGTCTCGGTGGTACTGACGACGCAGCTCCAGATACGAGTTTCTTTTTCAGTTTTCCCTTCATTGGTTGCCTGGGTTGTGGTTGTGGAGTACTGGGTCGGGCAGCGGCAACAGCTGCGTAATCACGTGAAGGGGTCGTCTCCGGCGGGGCGGGGTGCGGGGAAACGCGCGCGGCAACAGCGCCAGAGGTCGGTGACACATGCATGTCAGCCGACTTAAAACTGCTGAAAGAAGCATTTTGCGCCCCGCGACAAGTGTTCACGTTGCAGGCCTCAGGTGACCTACTTACCGAAGCCGCACTACTAAGTAATGCAACTTGGGCACGCAACTCACTGATGGTGTTGTCTGAGGCCTCCAACTTACACTGAACTTCAGCAAGGCTTGCTTTTAGGGACGTGATGTCCTTCAGCAGCCTGGTGACGTCGACGTGGTCGAACGTGACAGGGGGCAGCTTATGCAGCTCCTTCGCCACGAATGCAGGCACGTCGTCTGGGTCGGTCTCCTTGAACAACGTAATGATGTCCTGGAGACTCTTCACTCCTCCATCTCTCCGACGAGACGGCATCTGCTCGGCTTTGCCAAACGTCCGGAAAAGCAGCGCCTTGCCACTGCAAATCTCTTCTTCTTTGAAATTTGACTTGCAGATCTGCACGATGCTGACTTCGTCCATGGTATCTATGGCGTGTTGTATAAACGCCAACAGTTCGTTGGCTATGAGTTGCTGAGAACCCATAGTCAATTACGTGCAGCGGCTATTGCCGCGCGGGTCGCGAATTATTATAATTCTTATTGTGTAGTGGAGCACGTCCGAATCCGAGCGTGCACCGCACCACACTTACAATTAACCGTGTACAACCATTCAAGTATTCAGAGGGTACTATGATACTAAAAAGCAATTTACCCTTATAATTGACCCTTTCGATAGGCATCATAAATATACAGAAAGCTTTTTCCACATTTGGTTGGTTCGATTTCGAAACGAGGCATCAAAGTTTTTAAAAATCATTGAATGCACTCACACACTGAACACTATGAATACACACAAATACACAAAAATAATGTGTCCATGAAACAAAGTAACCTATCTTGCTATATTTAAAGAGTTTTTCCCTCCGTGTAGCTGTGGGACACTCTATACTGATAATGTTGTTTGGCATTAATGTGACGATTTAGACAGATAAAATTAGTGTAAGAAAGAAAAATAACGCCACTGGAATTGCAACTTGCTTGTGAACTAACAAGTATTGCCTTCGTTAAAATTCAAAAAGAAAATCATAGATACAAGGACAAATTTATTCAATAGGAAACAAACTTAGAAAACAATTTCTAGCTACGATATTCAACTCTCTCACGTAGAACTGTTCTTTGTGAGTAACAATATTATTCACGTTCCAGTTATTTTTCAATAAGTTTAAACAAGTTTTATATGCAAACAGAGATGAATTATCATGTTTATTTGTATGAGTTACTTACGTAAGGTAACAGCTCGTTAGGCGCCATTCCCGAGATAATTACGAGGTAGCGAATGATGACTTTCAAGTTGTTAGGCCAGCAAGCACAAAGCGTTGACCACAGTTCTTCTATCTCCTTCGGGTGGTAGTCAGAAAACTGTACCATGAAACAAAAAAATTACTATTACTAAGTTAAAATAAACAATAAATTAATAAATATAAATAATAAATTTAACTGCCTCCGTGCACGCAAAATAGGCGCCATGTCGTCGAGTTGCGGACACCAGCCCGTTACACCAAGTACCAACTGCCTCCGTGTCCGAGCGATTACATGCAGCCACGAAGAGGTCCCAGGTTCGATTCCCGGGCCGGGAGAAATATTTGTATGGCCTACATTTAATTCTCTCGTAAGTTTGGGATGAGCCAAGCAGTTATTAGAACTTATCCATATTCATTTACTGCATTTCACATGTATAGTACAGGTTAATATTATAGTAGTAGTAATAGTAGCTTAAAATTATAGTAGTAAGTAGCCCTGTAAGGGCGGCGTAGCAAATTACACTTACTATTTAGGAACATTTTAAACTTAAAACGTAATCAAATGACATAGAAACTTTGAATTTAATTTACCGACTTATTACTTAGCTTTAACTACCTTACCTAAGCAAAATACTCAGCTTTCTGTCGTCCTGTTATTATACAGATTTACATTTGTGGGATTACTATATGCTCACGCACAGATATAGTACGTTTTCTTTAATACAATTACACAAATACAAGTGGTACTTTTTTCTACTTTCAAAAGTTTGTAGCTATATAAAATTTTATGATTGCATTGTTGAAATATTTTAATTATTTATATAATTGATTCAAAGCTAAATTATCTCACTCAGTAGTTTACATATAATAATAATAATTGGTAGATATTCGATATTTCAATTATCGGATATCTTTTTTGTGCATCAGAACCTCGAACCGTAAGTAATTATAGTGATATTAGCGAGGGCTTGGAATTGCATATGTAGTAGTATTTTGTGTTTACACAAGAGCTTGTGGTTTTTATACGAACGGCAATCTATTACACACGCAATTTCCAGCTCTCGCTAAGTTTAATAATAAAGAATTAAATTACTACAAACAATTAAAACTTGATCTTAAGAGGAAAGTTAATAGTTAGGAGAAACGTTTTATCGGATTAAACTGTTTGCTAAATTAATTATATTGTCCATATCTTTACAACACTTACAGCATAGACTTTGAAGTACAACCTGTCGAAGTAAAATGTTGATTTCGTCCCTTTGTCTTTTCGACTGAAGTCACCGCTCTCTCGGCTGCTCAGTACCATAACCACCGCAATTGTAGTTACAAATACATCATTCTCAAGATTATATCATTCTTTGTGTACTAAACTAAATAAATAAAAAAGTAATAAAATAAAATTGTTTTGTCCATTTTAAATTTAATAATATTAAATAATAAATTGAACTTAATAAAAATTAATTCAATAAAATAATTTGTAAATCTTAATGTAGCGTAAATTGGAATGTTTTCTTTGTAAAATTAAAAATAAGGTATTTATTTAATATAACTATTGTAACTATAGTGAAAAAATAAGGTGGTTTGCATCAATATTATCGGATTATCGGTTTGTTTGAAAAAACAAATATACGCGATTTAAATCCGGAAAAATAGTTTCATTTCCTATGTGTAACAATCGCGAAAACCTAAGAACTCGATATTTAATAATATTATTTGTGCTGACCATATCACAGATATCTAAATTAGATATTTTGAAAGCTCCACTATTTTTTTATGTACATTTTTTACGCATATTGTCAGTAGTATATATTATAGTGAATAAAGGTCTGATTAACAGTACATAATATAAAATGATTTTACGGAGATACATCGTGGTAATGGGGACGATTAAAACTTTTATGAACTTTCACAGAAGTTATGTGCTACCATAGGCTGAACATAAAACAATACTATATGAATCGAGGCCACTCAGAAATTAAAACGTATTTACTCTTTATTGTCTTTTATCAATAGCTAATAATAATACTTTATTTACGTCCGCAGATACGCAATAAGGCGTTTTAAAAACGTAGTTCTCAATGTTATTAGATTAATCATATTATCGTTTATATTTTCGGTGTTTGCAATGGCTATAGAAATAAATTAGAAATAGGATATTCTTTGCGCAATACGCGCAATACCTGAAAGAGTTTGCAAAAGGTGTAGTGTGGCAACCGTCAAGGTTGATAGTGACGAATGGGGTAAACAGAGGTGTGCCTGCCGCATTCCCACCGGACAACCGCTCCAACCTTGCCCCAAGCAATGTGAACATTGATAGTCAACGCAGTGCCTCGACTCATCGAACACAAAATGATCACAAAGATTCCGCTATAAGAACGCTCGTCGACGACATTTCTCTAATAAGCAGCTCGAATACTCAGGGGAAAAACGGATTCAAATAATAAATTGTTGAAACGTTCACCCTTGGAAACAAGCAATTTTGTTAATACAGTACAATAGATGAACGAAAACGAAACTTATTAGCGAAGACATTGAGATAAGGGAAATTTGTACAGAAAATCGACCTATCTAATATTCATTAAATCTTTAATTCTTTAAACAGTAAAACAATTTTATTTTGTAGTAAAAAGAACATTGGGTAAGTAATGCAGAGCAAAGAATACCTACCTTGGCGGTGATGTAGAACAGATTGTTGAGAACCATCTCAGTTGCCTCCGCAGAGCCCAGACCTTCACGCCGTCCACTGCGCCCGGCTTCCGAAGTGTAGTACTGAAACAACTTTCACTTTGTATTCTATTTCTCGTAATGAAAACGAATTTCAGACTGGCGTAGTTTGATAGTTTAGCAAGTGATTCTCATTAGCCCTGTATTTGCGGCATGCTCGTTCCTTCATGAATGTCGTATATACAATATACAATCATCTTATATACGTAAACCAGATAGTAACTAGCACCCGCGTCGTGAAGATTCGAAAATCAGTCAACTGTACGATCTTGCAACCACTCTGTGTCGAGCAAAGAGACAAATTTGACATTTGTAAAACTGTTATTTTGTTCAAATTAAAAAAAAAACTAATTACTATGTTAAAAGTAAACAAAACACGAGGAATCACGTACCACGCGTAAGTTAGCAAAAATATTTAGATTATTTATTTTTCTGTTTATTTAAATAAATAACAGCTCCTAATTGAAAAAAGACATAGTAAATCATTCTTGTAGTGAGTGCTATAAGGATGCATGAACTCCGGTCATTGGATACAAGTGCAGATACGAACATTGCAGGCAGTAAAATTATCAATTTGATTGATGACTGACTGTATTGTATTCGGGAAAATTATTTACACAGATTCGTAACGTACGTCTTTATCCTATCTTACAACAGACAATCAGTTCTTGGCTGTATATGAAAAAACACTGCACTTTCAATGGCGTTTAATTTAATTAAACGAATTTATTTTAACAGTATGAATCAACAAAACATCTTACTTTCTTTTCGAGAACATTGATGCATGCAATGTCATTTGTTTTGCCAAGTTATCTTTGCCACCGAGTTCGTTACATACTTCAAAGAAAAAAAATCGCTTACGACAGCGTATACCTTGAGAAATCCTCTGATATCTTCTACAGGATTTTGAAAGGCCTATAAATACAAGTATAACTCATTCCATGGGGTAGGCGTAATTTTTTTTTTGTGTACCGGGATTTTCATAATAATAATACTTAACAATGCACACTTTATTGATGAAACATTACAACTTATTGGTGAAACCCCATACACCTTGTCACTTCATTGACATAGTACTGGGCTATATGAAAAGGTCTACAGACGATGAAATTTAATTAACATAGGTATTCCTCTGTCACTCGAATTCAAGTTATTCAAAACCCTGAATTTACAACGTACATATGTAATAATACTTTACTCTTGTTTAAGATTCTTCAGAATAGAGTTGACGACAAAGGATGCTTAAACTTTTGTACGCTTGTTAATAAAGGTAAAGAGAATTGTATAGAACAGCGACAACGACACATTTTACAAGAAAAAAGAATTAAAAGTTAATGTACTTTTACATTATATCACTGTACAAGTCGTTTTGAAGTTGAGGCCGTCGCAGTCACTTATGAAGAACAAAAATGTGAATAGCATAAACATGTTTTGTTAAAATGTAGTGTGTTTGCATCAAGCTAGCACCATCTTTCATTTTAACGCGACAGACATGCTCAAGGAGTAATGGAATAGAAAACAGAAGATATATACTTATGTAGATAGCCATACTGAAGGTACACTAGATAAAAGTGATCTTGCTACTTTGGTTATCTAAATACTCATCTTTAAAATGAGAACCATGGGTTATTAATTTTATTACTAAATCAATAATTTAGTTGAGTCTGCCAATCTAATAACCTTTCAAAGCATGAAAAACGTTTTTATATGCTTTCGGTATTTCATTTTTGTTCTGTTCTGACACAGTATAATCATGGTAATTTAATTTATATTAAGAAGAATAATAATCTTTTATGAAAAATAGTGATAAAAATAACATTAATACGAGGAATAAAAATTTACTGGCTAAGTTGACAGCGTCTTCACAAAGTCACAAAAATCATTTAAGAGGGGCAACGTACACCCCCACGTACCTAATAAGATACCGTTTGATAATCAATATTTGCCATTTACGAGGTTTAAACTGTAGAGAAACAAAAACGTTACACTAAAAATTATTTATATAGCTTCTGCGTACTTGGATTATAAAAATCCATGGTGACCAGTTCAGATCTTGCAGGTGGTCTCTCTCGATTTATATTTAAAATAAATGTTGTAAACGATAAACATGTAGAAATATTTATTTACAAAGACCAAACTCTAAAGTTTCTTACACATTCTTCTTACGGAAATCTATAGGAATCTAGTAGTTCAAGTGTATTTTGATTACCAATGCAATAAAGATAGCTTGAGTTTGACATTATCTCAAAAGATAACGTAACCATATTCCAAAATCTGTTACAAAAATTGAGGATTTCAAGCATCGAAGGGAGCAGCAATGGTACAATAAGTAAACCAACCTGTATGTAGGAAAGAGGATTAGCCGGCGGCACGTTCGGATCCACAAGCTCGATGTTCACTAACCATGGCAAGAGATACTGGAGCAGTAATTGACGAACCTCTGTGCGCGCTGTTTGAAATCTCGCTGTTATTTCTGAAACAAAATCTAAATGATTAATATACATACACAACAGTAAAGGAGCTTAGTAATTTTCAATACCAAAAGATTTGTTTGTAACTGGTCTAAAATTTAATTTTTTATTAATATTCGACAAGGTTTGGCATCCACTGCACGATCGATAAAATTTTTGAATCAATAAATTTGGGGAGCTATTTTTATTCGATTAATAAATAAGGTAAGTACTTTCGAATCATTTAAATCAGTGCGTGTAGGTAATTCCATTTTTTTTAATGAAAAGTAGAGTCCAATTAAATAGGGCGAAAGTTGGGTTAGAAGTTCATAAAAATATCAATTATTTTGGGAGATGGCTTTTCAATGGCGCTGGATTTACACGAGAGAGATTAAATTTAAGAAAGACTCGCTACGCTTTTGTTTTATGATAACAACTGATTAAAAATGAAGTGGAAAATTGGTAAAGACGGCGTCTAAAGTTAATCGGTTTAAGTGGAAATTTATTAGTGTCGTCGACTGGATAAAAACGGCGAAAAAATCTAACAGCTATCGTGTAAATTGTTAAATAGCAAAAAAGACAAAGTATTCGTCCCAATGCAACGATACTATTAAGAGAAACGCCGACAAAGATAGCCAATTTTATCCTGTCAAGAAGACAATCTAATTCATTTTCAATTCAACCATTCCAATTTAATCACGTTTAGTGTTACAAGATCAGCTACGTAAAACAATGTCTGTAATAATGATTGATTTTAACAGCCGTAATTAACAATTAACGAGTTTTCAAGTTAGCGTTTTATATAAGTTAGCCGTCTGATGTTTCTTCCCGAATGATATTACACTTGAACTTTAAATTTCAACAGATACGTAAAACTTTTCACTACAGAAGGCTTTGCTTTAAAGCCTCAACTCTCGTGACTTTTATAGGAAAGTCAAGTTTCAAGGTTACACATTTTAATTAATAAAAATTTTATGTGAAGTATGTTTGCTCTCCAACAGTACGTGTATTATTAGGCATGTCCTTCAAAGCCTGGGTACGGTTTATTATTTACATAGTGGGATTGGTCCTAAAGTTATAGGGACTCGGGCATTAACATGGGGATCGGAAACGTGCTCTACTGGCCGAATTTTGTATTTATAAAATTTCCAGGCACTATTTATAAAAAGTCACAAAGTTGATTTAGAAAAACTTACCAACAACGACAATCAACAAGGAATGTATTATATATATTATAATAGGGGTTAAAGTAGAAAAGGATAATCTACATAGAAACAAATTTTAGAAAATGACATTTATTTAAAGAAAGTATGTATTTACACTATCGATACACAGTAGTGTATCTTGTAAATAATTGTAAATAGTGTATCTCTACTAACTTGCTGGAAGACCATATTTTATTTGCGGTTATCACCAGTTTCCAACTATTCAGAATTCCACTAAGTACTGGTATTAATTTGCAACTGTGTTACGGCAACTAAATTTGGTTTTCTTGATAGATAATTATGACCATATCTTAGAATACATTTTCATCACGATGACGATCGATTAAGACGATGATGATGATGGTTCATTAAGACAGTGCAAGCTTCAACACGCGTCACTCGTTGTAATTTCGTAGTAAGTACCTTTTTTCAAATTAATTTATCCTACGAATTTGTCGCAACACACAGGCGATACAGCTACATTCAAATTTGCTGTTAATTCCTTAGCAGTTTGCGATGGGTTGGCTTCAATAATACCTTATAATTATATAAACTAATATACAGCGTTATATTCAGTTATTCCTTAATTTTACTTCGTTCTCGGGGCTCACTTGGTAGGTTAAAATTTCCACTGCGATGTCGGGCAAACCAAAAATGCAAAGCACCCGTGTTAATTGTGCCTGTTGTAATATACACGTCGTTAACGATTCAAGTCGAGTCGTTTGCACTGCATTAGTGCCACGTCAGAACTCGTATTAAAAAAAGACACGTATATTAAAAGTATTCACGTTTGATTTCAAAGCAAATATAACATTAATCACGTTTTACGTGAACAAATAAATCAATAACGTTAGAATTTGGAAACGTTAAGGTTTTATTTGAAATAGTTTCTATTCTTAATCTTACACTAAAAATATTTTGTTTAAGAGGCCAGAACGTTAGAACAGCAATTAAATAACCCCTAATCATTGACCTACCTCTCCTACTCATATAATGAAAACATAATGAAAAATGTTACCTGAGAACATCGGCATGGTTAGCTCCGGGTGTAACTGCGATAACTGCCTGGACAGGTAGAGCTGCGACCGGCAGTATGTGGTGCATAATAGGGCATCCAGCGTGCCTCGCCCTTTTTCCGAACCTGAACAAAAAAGAAAAAATATATACACAGATAGCCCACCAAATTGATTGAAAAGAGTGTAAATTACGTTTTTAGGGAATTATACCTCGCATTGGGTCAATATTGCGCACTAAGAGTCGTATTCCAGAACTGTATTCAATGCTCAAGTCAGGATTTTTGGAATACGACTCTTAGGGTCATATTCTAGAACTCTACTCAATGCTCAAGTCAGGATTGCAATTGAAACACAAGCACTGGAAATACGACCCATAAGGGCAGGGACTTGAGTATGATTTCGAGTGCTTTAAACCATACTCAAATCCTGACTTGAGCATTGAGTAGAGTTCTAGAATACGACCCTAAGACCTAAACTCTCCCTTTATAGAAGACTTTATTGAACAGTGTGAAAAAGTTGTAAATTCTTGTTTTTTCGTATCTTGAGTTGTACGCATGTCACAATGCATATTATCGCTTAGGCTGCCAACGAATGGACTGCAGTTAATGCATGCAGTCGAGACTTCAACTGCAAGTGTCGGCTGCAGTCGATGTGAACGATAGTCCGAGAATTAAAACTAGCAGTTGATATTCTTAAGATAATAAATGATATTTTTGTGTCTGAAACAACTTGAACTTTAGTAGCAACCGCAAAAAGTATGGATTATTTGAAAGTTTAATCAAGTTAATGGTAAAACAACAACACGATTGAAGAAACTTTTCTCGAAGAATTTATATAATTTGTTCATTTATATAAATCCGTACACTAATTGCCAGCCTATATCATTAAACATACATATAGACATAGTAGGTTAAATATTCGTCCGGATTGGATTTATCATGGCGTCTTAATCAAAATCTAGTATCATTCGAAATGGCTAACGCACTAAGATTATTAGATTTCGACGATACAAAACTAACCCACACTTTCCAACCTGTGGTAATAAAAACAAGCTCGTCAGTTTTCTGATTTTCTAATTAAAGTTTTAGGAAAAGAGTGTTTTAGTAGGTATTTATCCTTATTGAAACGTATTTAGAAGTAATTTGACTGCATTGATATAAAGGAGCTACAGTAATATTCTGTTTCCAACCATTCAGATTTTTGCGTGTATTAGTAGTGTGTAGTAATGAATGTTAAAAATTTTCATAAAAATTAGACGAAAATACATGAATTTTAATGCACTCCTCAAGCCGGAAACTCACTAGCGAACTGTAACCGTAAGCGTTGCATGTTATGTTACAAAAAATCATAGTGTGTACGTGGTTCGCGAGCTTGTCGCGAGCGGAACGCGTGCGGTTCGCACTTCGCAGTGAACAGACGACAACCAGATTCTCATTCTAGCGAGTGAAGACTGTTTCACGCGTACACGCTAGAACCACACCGTATCTGTCACGTTACAGTTACAACACGCTAATGCGTACCTGGCTTAAGAGTGTCAAAAACATCACGCAGGTAGAGTTCTGATGTCAGATCTGAGTTACCAATAAGTTAGTACAGCAGAAATCTATAAAACAAAAGTTTTTAAATAACGAATGTGCTCAAATTATTTTAAGCAAAATAGGTTACACTAACACCAAGGATTTCAGTAAAAATTACAAAATACAAAAGTTAGGACATTACTAAATCAGTTTCCTAATTCCTTGTAACTGAATAAAATTGCGGTATAACACAAAACACCGCTTCATTTCAAAATGAGCGGTGCTACAATCCCGGGCTTGGATTATCCGGTGATGTGCGGCAAAAAATATAAAATTCGCAAATTAGTTCCTTATAGCCTTACAAAGACAGGCGATCAGTGAATCAGTTACAAACACCTAGAAAGAGTAGAGCTGACTCTTTGATTAGTCGATAATATTGGATAAATCGATCGAAAATAAACGACAGTTTTTATCCGTCGGTTAATTACAATTTAGCAAATTTTGCACCTCTAATTTACCCAGCTATAAGTATATTTTTACACAAGCCAGTGTTGTTCCATTTATTATACTACTGTGACAAAAATCATTTCTTCCTATGATAATATATAAATTATATGGCCGAATATTTTAAGTTGTATATATAATTTTTAGGTATAAAAAAATTTAATTTATTTACTTATCTTTGTCTAGGTTACATATATGGTGGCCGGTGAAATTTTAAGTATGGAAATATTTGTATTAAAAGATTCCGCACGTCCAAATCGGTAAAGTTATTACACAAATTAAATGGTAGGTGATTTTAGAAAATGTACATGAGGTTTAAGGTTAGTTAATAAGAAATTACTTTGCATTGTCATCTGTGACGCGGACAAGTATGACCTCGTTTTGGTAGCGTTATCTGCAAGTATTTTCAACAGGTTATAATGAAAGACTTGCGGTTATTTGGTTGCAATATTTTTAAAGCTAGTAAGCATATTCTTTGTACCAAAAAAACCTTATTATTTAACGTCTACTGAAATATTTCCTTAAGATTGTATTGACAGACTCTGATATTGAACGCAGCTGTGGGTTATTAAAATGCAAGTCACAAGTTTATCGAAGTACGTGGCAACCTCGAAATGATAATATTCCGTAATGATGTTAATGTCTACCTGAAAAGTTTGTATGTATATTATAGATGGTATGGTGTAACGGGCTGTTGTTATAACATAAATTATAGCAAAGAAAAGAAAATTAATAATGATGTTAAATAACGTAATTAGCTACGTGTTTGAAAAACGAGCCTAACTATAACCTACGCCGTGAATTATTGATAAACGAATAAAATATCCATTGTAATGACTGCAGAATATCTTGTACAGTTTTGAGGTCATAGTTTAGGAGTTACGTATATATTTGAGAAGAATAAGTATAATACTTTGTGCAATTTAGTGAAGTTTAAATAACAGTATTGAGAGTTAAACAGCCGCTGATATTACGCGACTAAGGACCGTTAAGTAGTAGAAAGAGAATTTATTGCAAACAACGGAATAGTCATGCGTAGGTAGTCGGCAGTCTACGAAACTAGCTAATTGATGTTAAATCACTTGAGAGAAAGATAGGTGCTAAATAAAAACTACATATATCTAATATATAATATATACATATATCTAATACATAAAATACTACGAAATTATAACTGAAAATTTATAAAAGTAACAGTGTAAATATGTATACGGAGTGCATATATATGTATGTACAAGCACTCCTTATTTACTATGAGTTGAAACAATATTGTTGTTACGGCCACAGCCGTGTTACCAGTTTCAGCCTTATTTTTCTTTATTGTTAACATACGGTTACTAAGGTACAGATTTAAGAAATATTTTCCTTGTTATTTTTAATCTAGGATTAATTATTGATAATTGAACAATTTTTTCGGATCTAAATCGTTATATTTCGTTTATATTTCTTTTTTCCTTGTTTTTTCAAACAAACCAACATTTCGGGCGCTTTACAGGTTCTGCGGTCACGGCTGGCTCGAAAACGTAAGAACTCTACATTACTAATTATTTTTTGTAAAAAGAATCCTAAATCAATAGAATTTCAATTACCGTGTCACTCAATGTCTTAGCAAACCGTACGTTTTGGGATTTAATTATTTTTGTAAAAGAATTGCGCATTGCGCAGCATTCAATGTTTTTGCACCGCACCTTCATTAGCCGTCAAAATTTTGGAAATTCATAATTCCAAATAGCGCAAATGCTTTGCGATGCACTTGAAAATTTATCCACTAAACATAATCTAGTGCACTGAATATTGCAATGTTACGCTCAAAATTGGATTTAAAATTGCGACGTTTCCATATGATTGCAAGCGCACCATAGCACACGACACGCATGACCGTTGTTAAACTTTGCAGGCAAGCGTATGAAGTTAGTCGTGGGGTAGGTGTTATAATTTAGGCAAGTGCCGTTTAGACTGTCCTCTGATATCGGATCAGAAGTTATTACTTCGTGTAGGGCTCATCAGGTACTTCGTATTCGTATCGCGTACTTTCTCTGTTCGCATATAAACTTCTTACTTTGAGTTTCATTGGGATGTTTTTTCGACAAATATGGTGATGGATGACGGCGATAACGTTTCAATTTCAATGCTCATATATACAATAACTATTTTACTATTGTAAACGCGAAGAGAAATATATTTTTTTCTTATTTAAAAATATCCAAGGGCCTCTTTAGAAAATGGTTATGACACAGTTCGGCAAGGTAGATGTTTATTTATATGCGTTTTAACGTATAGTTGTTTTCATAAGTAGTTTCTTGGATTAATAAAAACTAATATATGTATATCGAGATTTTAGGTTTTTGCGATTATTACACACTGAAAATGAAACTGTTTTTTTTTCTGAATCTAAATCGTGTATACTTACAATACAATACTATTTCAGTCGTGACGTATCGATATAACAAAATCTCTATGTAGCAGCGACTTTTTCAAATACAATTCTGTTTCTAGCTAATGTTGTTTTGGTACAATAGACACTTTAATATCCCAGTATGATTAGAGTCATTATGTTTTTGCGATTGCTATATATTGGGAATGAAAGTATATTTTCGGATCTAAATCGGATATATTTCTTTTTTCAAACCAACCAATGTTTCGGACTACTTGCAGGTTTCATAATCACGGCTCAACATAGTATCTGTATTTGTTCTAGAGTACAATAAAGAATATTTGTATTGTATAAAGTTATGTATAATATGTGTTCATCTGTTCCAATACAGAGCCTTTAAGCTCTACTTTAACGAATTAGGCGTCGTTGAATTTGTCTCGGTGGTCCGCGTAGGCTAGATACTTTAAAAATATAATACAGTATCCGTCACACGTTCTAAAGTTGCGATTTCAAAAATTAGATAACTTTAAAATACCAATTCAAAATAAGGTAACGTGGTAAAAACAACTACATATACCAATATTTTTAAACACAATTATGATATATCGAGATCTTAGGTTCTCGCGATTGTTACACATACGAAATGAAACTACTTTTCCGGATTTAAAACGCGTATATTTGTTTTTTCAAACAAATAGACAATTCGGACCCTTTACAGGTGTGAAACCAC